AGATGGACGAAGTACACTGCTGAGGGGAGCAGTGGGCGGGTCAGGAGAGGTCTGCCTCGCCATGTGGACTCCTCCGGGGCAGGCGGGGATCGAACTCCTGAGGAAGTGGCTTAAGTTTCTTTGTGCTATGCTTTAGCCTGCTGCGCCACCAGGAAGGGTCCCCAGTTATTTATTTTTAAAAAAGGAAACTGAGGTCCAGAAATATACAGAGATCTGCCCGAAGTCAGACATTGACTAGTCAAAGAATTACAATTAGAACCAGGACTACCTGCCACCCCACCACCACCACCACCACTTCATATTACTTCCTTCAGAGAAACTTCAACTTCCTAAATCATGCAGCAAGAAAGAACTGGTGACTCAGAGAGACAGTGAGTCAGTGTGTGTGTTGGGGGGGGGGGTAATTAGTGCAGTTCATGTCAGATTGGCTCTCCCTTGTCAGAAGGTCGGCATTCTGTGAGCAAGAGGAAATTCAGGTGGGAAAACTTGGGGGAGTTACGAATCTTCTTGTGCTTTGGTTTGTCATCCGTAAAGTGAGGGGAGTAATATGCCTCTTGGTGTGTCATCATCTTGATGGGTGTGTTTGGAAACCTTGCAAAGGATCAAGCACACAGCAAATGTTGAGTGAGTGACAACTTTTGCCTGTATCCCGGGCCTGCTTAGAGCCCGCCTTGACTTGGGTTTCCATCAGAATACAGAGACAAGAGGTTGGGCACAAGGACTGTTGTTGGAAATTGATCTGAGGAACAAGACTGAAAGAGTGAGAAGATCGAATGGAGAGGGAGTAGAGCCAGACAACGCCAAGCTATTCCTGTGGGAGACGGAGTGCCATCCTACCAGGAACCTCTGAGAACCCAAGCAAAATGCCCAGAAGAATTGTCCCACTTTGGGCAGGAAACAGGGACATTTATCCACTGGCTCCTATTCTCTCTTGGTCACCTCTGTGGTGTGAAGTCAACTCTTGGTTTCCCTGAGCTTCCTGGCAAGCTCCAGGTACCAACACCCTGAGGGAAAGCGGAAGAGACAGGCCGGTAGTGGTGGTGGATGCTGTCTCTGGGCTGAGACCTGTCAGCCGCCGGCAGGTGAGCTTAGAGATGGAGAGGGAATCCCAGCAACCGGGTGATGTCATCGTCTGGGGTGGGAGCCCACTTGAAAACTCGCATACACAAAGGTCAGCATAAACCAGCTGTCACAGCTCACTCTGGAGTCTTGACCAGGACTGAGCCAGCTGCTTCTGGTGCCTGTGGGCAGGAGTCACTGTTGAGACAGCGTCCGGAGGCCTGGGCACCAGGACAATGACTACTCCTCCAGAGGTCCACATCTGTCATCACAAAGGCCTGTGTGGGACCAGATTCCTCCCCTAAGAATGTTTACCTGGCCCCAGTCTCAGATGACCGTATGACAAAGAACCTAAAAATTATATCCCTGAGAATCTCCTTCTCCATCTGCACAAAGGAAGCCAAAGCCCATTCAGAGCCTCATCCCAGACACTCCTGGGAACCAGCTATTGTCTCTAATCATGTCAGTTTCCAACAATGAGCCAGGCCTGTGCTGACCCAGACCCTGGGGCCTCTTCACACTGAGGCCATGTGACTGTCTCCCCCGGGAAAGCCCATCTGTCCCTGTGTCCACCCACACCCCCATGAAAGCACTCTCAGCAGTGTCCCTGTTCTTTGAGGTTGGCCTTGGGCCAGGGGAGGGCAAGGTGGGCTAGCAGAGGGACAGGAGAAAGAGACTAATAGAGGGAACAAGCCTTAGGTCCTGCAAGGCCTCAGAGGCCATTATAAGGACATTGAATTTTAGCCTGGGTCAGACAATGCATGGCTTGGAGTAGAAGGTGGCAGGATCTGCTTCATGTTCAAAGGATGTATGGACTGCTGTTCTGGGATGAGGAAGCCCGTCAGGGCAGAGGCGGGGGGAAGAGCCAAGAGCAATATTGCTTTGGCAATCATCCAGGTGGGAACCAAGAGTGGCTGGGATCCAGGTGGTAGTGATGGAGCTGGTGATCTGGATTCCCGCTAAATGGACAAGCAGCACGTGGCCTCTGCTTCAGAAGCTCCCGTGCACCTGGCCAGGTGACGCCTGGCTCCAGACCGAGCTACTGAGTGGCAGGAAGGGGGAATCATCACCTGGTGCTCTGGTTCTGCTCCCTCAGTACACATAATTGCCCTCAGGGAGGCTGCCCATCCTGGCTGAATGGGCCCTTGTCCTTCTGCTCACAGGTTCTTTTCAGCCCCCAGCGCCTGCAGTTTTCCTCCAATGGAAATGATCCTGTGTGACTGCCCTGAGTCCTTGGTAGGGATATTATTCCTTTTCTTTTTTTCTGGAGGATTTAAAGCAAAGTTATCAAGCCTTCCCCCACCCCCACCCTCTGTGTCTTTCACTGAGAACTCATATAAAACCCACAGCTCTGACTTAGCTGTTAATCTTTCTGGCGGCTCAAATTCTGAGGTCATTTATCCAGCTTGGGAGGCAGGTAAGTCACACACTGGAGGTGCCCCGGCCCCCTCGGTGCCTCTCCTGCCCATGCCTTGCAGCTAGCTGAGGGCGCGTCCTCGGCAATCCCGAGCTCTGGTCTCCTGGACTGAGCGACAGGCATTTCTGTCATCCAGTGTCCACACGACACTTCAGCTAAGGCTCCAGTCTACCTTTCCATTTGCCCCTAAAGCTATCGATGGTCAATGGGCCTCTATGAATCCCTCTGCTGGAAACCCAGCTCGTGCTCACGTCTGCGGTATTGGGAACAGGGTCATCAACCCAGCGGACTGGAATGAGTTGGAAAACTGCCGTAAAACATGGCAGGCAGCAAGGCACCAGCTGAAGAGGATCCCTCCCCAGCCAGTGGCCAAGCACCCGCGGGCATGGGGAGCCTGGGGGACGGAGGAGTGTGGGGGGCATGGGGGTGTGGGTGCAGGGGCTCTGACCCTGGCTGCGTTCTTCTGGATCTGTTGTTTGTCTCAACCTTGCTTCCCTCCAACTGCACAGTGAGGATAATGATAATGAAGTCGGGCTGCTTTGAGCACCCGTGGGTCATGTCAAATGCCTGGCACACCAGAGGGTCAACCTATATTAGACTTTTTGCTTCTTTTTGCTCACTACCGATTTTTGGTAAGGGGGTGCCGCACCTTTCATCGATGGCTCCCCGGCCCTGGAGCCTCATGTGTAAAGTCTGGGGGTGCCATCAAGGGGCCACAGGTAAGAGGTGTGCAGCCCCACCCCCTTGGGTGCTCCTCGGGAAGCGGGATCTGCTATGTGGAAGGTTGAGGTAGGAAAGGACCGTCTTAGGTATCAGAAATGGGAGGGCGGGTGCCTCTCTCTCCACGGAGCCTGACTGGGCGCCTTCCAGCTGCAAAGGACGGCGGGAAGCGGGCTTGCTCTGCCGCTTAGACTGCCCTGGTTGACTGTGAGTCTCTGAAAATGGAAGTGCTAGGGTGGTCCGTTAAGGCTCAGCAACTTTGTGCTCACCTCGCAGAGTCCCAGACCCAGGGCTGTTGTCGGTAAGACCAGGACACACTGGGGGTTCATTTCACCAGATTCAACACCCAAGGGCCATGGGAGCATTCTTGGCCCTTCTCCCAGCAGGGTGGCTGGCTTGCTTTCTTTCTTTTTTTAAAGATTTATTTATTTATGCATACAGAACTGGGGTACCAGCAGGAGGTGCGGGGCTGGGGGGAGGTGAGAGGATTCACCAGAGACCGAGTGGGTGACAGAGTCCACTGCTGAGGGGAGCAGAGGCGGGTCAGGAGAGGTCTGCCACGCCGTGTGGTCACCTCCAGAGCAGGTGGGGATAGAACTCTCACTGAAGCAGCTGCGGCCAGCTTGCAGTGCTGCGTCCTAAACTATTGCGCCACCAGGCAGGGCCAGTGGCTGGGTTCCTGACTCCTGGTGCCCACAAAGAGTTCTGTTGTGGTCAGTATTCAGCCCTCCAGGCCCCCAGGGTGGTGCAGGGAAGGGCCAGGAGCAGAGAGCAGCAGGGGGAAGGCCAATGACTTTCACACCCCCAGACCACAGTTCCAATCCCAGCTGCCCTGTGGAGAAACAGTGGTCCCCACAGGGCCCCTGCCTCTGAGCCCAGGCCCCTTTCTGTACAGTGAGGAAGTCAGTGTGCCCTCCCCGGAGGCCTCAGGGGGTGAAACAGCAGGGTGGGCCCACAAGGGGAGGCTCAGAGGACCACCTGCAGGAGAGGCAGAAGGCCCAGTGTTCCTGTCTCCAGAGGCTCCGTGGGTGGCCGGGGCGCAGCAACTGAACTGACAGAAGACAGATGAACAGAAGGAAACGACTTATTTCACAGACATTCACAGACATGTGGGCGACCTCACAGAAAAGAGGTGTCGGGCCCTGAGGCTTAAATGCCATTTTAACAGAAGGGTGATGAATGGTGGAAGTGATAAGGAAAAAGCAGGGAGGGCTGTTGAGCATGGGTGCTACTTATGGGGAGATGAGCCTATGGGCAAGCTCACAGTGATTTCAGCAAGGGTGGTTCGCACAGGCCCTCTTGGTGCTGACTGACCATCTTCTTCAGGGCCACGAAACCCCCAGGGAGGATCTGAAGGCCTGGGGACAGATCTCATTTTTCAGAAGTTTCTGCTTTTCAAGTTCTTGATCATATGGAGAGGACTCCTCAGTGACCTTTGACTCGAAGTCACCCATATGTTAATGTGGCATCTTTGGGGTCCCCTATCCTCATCCCTTTGAGCGCCTGCTGGTGTGTCATCACGTGGCTTGCTCTTCTGATCCCACGGCGAGAGCATCACTCAAGATTAACTGTGCACGAAAGGACAGCCCTGCGCAGACAGTGAAGCGATGCAGACTTAGCTTCAGGGGAGGTTTCCGGCCTCTGGTCTTTGTGAGGTGCAGATTGGCCAGCAGTGATTTGAGTTTGGGGATGTTGTCTGTCTTCTTTCCCACAGTGGCACCCAATGCTTTGGGTCCCATCACTTTTCCTTGTTTGATAAACTTTTATCCATTTACATGGCATCTGCTCAGAGTTAGGGACTATCCCTGTGTTTCATAATTATGACACCTCATGCCGGCCTTGGTGAGGACGCTGAGGCTCGAGGGCTGAGTCCCTTGCATGGCTGGCAAGTGACAGAGCCAAGAGCAGACCGCTCCGGGCCCCGCGGATCACAGGGACACAGGAGCTCCATGAACATCTTGTGCGTGACTGGAGGCTCTGTAACTGCACCCAGCATGCACCAGCCAGGGCCCCACTCAATCGAGAGCCAGTCAAGTCCATCTAGCCTTCAGCCCACTTCTCCCCTGCCCTGGACACTCCACAGTGGCCCAGGGGAGACTGGAGAGACCTTCTCTTCCCAATGTGCTGAGGCATAAAGTCAGCGGGGCTGCTTGTGTGCACCGTGAGCTGGGCACAGAGCCTCCACCCCCCAAGCCCTCCATGCTGGCTCCCCCTCTCCCCAACTCCTCACTCATCCTCTCTGGGGCTGGATAAGACTGACAGAGAAAAAAAAGATGGGTCTCGTGAAACTGCTCCACAGGAGAATGCATGTACAGAATGGGGGGAAGGCCTCAGGCTGCTCCTGGGCTGAGTCGGCAGCTTCTGTCCCACTCAGCAGAGAACTCGGCCAATGACCCCTCAGGGCAGCCCCTCACACACCGGGGCCAACGCAGGTTTAATAAACGCCCCCCCCCACCCCGCTCTCCAAACTAGGTTTACCCAGATGTTGCATGAGAGGTCCTAGGACATTAGACACTGTGTGTCTCAAATCCAGACTTGAACTAGGTGTCCTGGGTTTTGGCTTTTTGGTTTTGCCAAATCTGGTAACCTCCCTCAAACACACAGGTGATCTGGCTAATCTGACAAAGACTTAAAAGAAATAAAAAACTTCACAGAAGGAAACATGCCTTTTTCTCTAGGAATAAAAATCAGTAGAGATTGTAGTCCTGAAGTAAAAACAGGTTAGCACATTTACTCTTAGTAATGGCAGCACGTGGTGGCCACATTGAAGCAGGAGTTAAAAAGAGGAGGTGTGTAGCTCTCAAGTGGACATAATTCCTTTGAATTACTTTATAGCTTCGATCTGATGCTGCTCCCTGGGAAAGGTGTGGAGGAGGAAGAGGAAGGACAGAAGGGACTACAGTTTTTAATTTTTATTCCTGGAGAAAAAAGAACACAGAAGGAATCAGGTGTTCTGGGGACCTAGCATCTTCCCCAGGCTGCGCTCGGCACCGTGTTACATGAATTCATTTAATCTTCACAAAACGCTGCAACATAGCTGGCTGTGCTCCTCTTACATGTGGGGCTCAGCAGGTGATGTCATCGCAGTAGCGGGCCAGAGGGAAGAGCCTCGTGTCATTTTGCTCATGGCCCACCTTCCCCTCCCCCCACCAGTCACCTGTGCACGGGCTCGTTCTCGCCTCCTCTCTCCCTGTCTCTCTCAATATGTGAGTCTGTGCAGGATGAGCGCAGTGGGCACAAGTGTAACTTCCTTGGGTGTGAGTCCGTCTCCGCCCAGAACAGCTAGGGAGGTGCCCCGCGTCTCCTACCTGTGTGCAAGGGTGCTGGGTGCTGAGCACCTGCTGTGTGCCAACCACCTGGTCAAATGCTCAGGGTTCATTTTCATAAACCTGCATGAGGATGCTGTAAGCTGATCCCCTTATCCCCAATTTGCAGAGGAGGAAAACTGAAGTTCAGACAGTAAGCAGATTTGCGAGCATGCAGGACTCCGGGAAAGCCCATCTCTTTCCCTTGCAAGGCCTGCCTCTGGCCAGGGCGGCATCCTGAGGAATCTACCACTATCTACCAATAATTAAAAGCCGTATAAATGTTCACTAGGCCCCTTAGGATAATCAAAGGTGATTCGGTCCCAATCTGAGCACAGTACTTCTTAAAATATAATTTGCGTTAATATACTCAATTCCTGGAGTACTTTGTCCCCAACCTCAGAGAGTTTCTCTGGACTTTATTCCACTCCACCTCGTTAATCCACCTTCCAGATGCACCCCACTCTCTCCCAGCGGCAAATGTCTGTGGAGCTGAGTGTTAAGGGAACATCCCATTAATCCCTACGCGTAGAGATGCCATAGTTGAGAGTAAAGTGGGGCCCTCCCTGGTGGTGCAGCAGGTTAAAGCGCAGCACTGGGAAGCTGGCTGTAGCTGCCTAAGTGCAAGTTTGATCTCCGCCTGCCCCGGAGGTGACCACATGGCGTGGCAGACCTCTCCTGACCCGCCCGCTGCTCCCCTCAGCAGTGTACTTCATTCATCTACTTGTTCTGCTCACTGTTCTGTCTCTGGTGAATCCTCTCACCGCTCCCGCACCTCTGGCCTGTACCCCAGTTCTGTATGCACAAATAAATAAATCTTTAAAAAAAAGAGCAAAGTCTAACAGACAGCATTCTCTGTGGTGCGTGGCACACAGAATGCACTCAACAAGATTTCTCCAGTGTTGTTTCTAGCCTCAGCTTTGCAGCTGTAATGCTTGTTACACAGGAAATGCCCAGGAGGACAGCAGGCAAGGCGCCGGAGAGGGGACGGGAGGGTGAGCACACACACACACACACACACACACACACACACTCATGTTCTAAGGCTATATTCCACTTGTAAACATCAGCGATACTGTATTTGGAGGGCATTTCCTTTCAAAACAGTCAGAAAACCCAAGCCAGGGACATGCATGCCCCGGATGTGTGGTCTCCCCTCCCACATTTCCTGACTCCCTGTGGTTTCGCAGGGCCAACTGAGGAGTGCTGACTTGGGCTGGAAATGGACTTGGGTTTTGGCACGTTCTGCCAAAGCATTGAAGAGCAGGTGCATAAACCTTCAGCAAAGCGCCAGTGTTCCGATGACTAAGGCAGGGACCAGATGGAGAACTATAAGAAGTTAAGCTTCCGACACCAGGGTGCCTGCGTGACTGTGTGGAGCAGGACTCCCACCAGTCTGCAATGAATACAGACCGTAAACAAGAATAGATTTTTGTTGTTGAATGAATCTGTGGAGGTAATTGGCGACCACAGCGCACCTGACCACCCTAACCAGTGCCGAACCTTTAGCACCTGCTGCCTCGCATCCAGCACTGTCAAGGACATTGTGCAGGGGTGCAGCTAGGGACCCAGGCTGTTTGCTCCCAGTGCCTGCCGTTTGCTTCCAGGTGGGCCAGAGTGTCACCAGCATGCCGGGCTTCCTGTGCTGTGATCCTCCGTGGAGGCTGTGCCTGGCCCTGGCTTGTCTCCTCTCCCTCTGGCACACAGGTAGGTCTGGCTGATGTTCCTGTAGTGTCTGTTCTATATGCTGGATAGCCACTGTGCTGGAGAGAATCACAGCAGCTGGGGCTCCAGGCCAGACTCCTAAAAGAGCTCAATCGTAATGACAGTGATTCTCCGCTTCGAAATTTGTCCTTGGACTTTTTGTGTTTCAGTTACATTTATGTGACAGAATGCGCATGATTTCACTCAAGCCACCAAGACTGTGACTCTCTATTAGCAACAGAAGACTTTGTGATGGGAAGTATTGTCATCACCACTGTAGTAATTCCACCTCTCTGCCTCCATTGTTACCAACCTCATCCAAACCATCATGTTCTCCTTGCTGGATTCCTAAGAGAATTTTCTAAACCAGCTCCTTGCTTCTCCCCTGTCTTCCCATGGCCCATTCTCCAATCACTAGCCTGAGTGATCTTGTCATAAATTCGTTATGTTACCTTCCAAGTTGCTCCCTCTGGCGTCCTTCCCTAAAGTTATTCAACAATTTCCTAGCTGACATCATAGTTTTACACATGGTGGATACAGCCTTTGCGCTGTCCCTGTAACCCTCCATTCCCTCAGTCTTTATTGCCATGAGTTCTATAAAGTCACAGGCACACCCTCCCCAGATCTTGCACTCATGCTGTGTCTTCTTTTTAAAAAAGATTCATTTATTTATGCATATAGAACTGGGTACAGGCCAGAGGTGCTGGGGTGGTGAAGATTCACCAGAGACAGAGTAGGGAGCAGAGCAGGCAGATTGACGAAGCACACTGCTGAGGGGAGCAGCGGGCGGGTCAGGAGAGGCTGCTGCGCCATGTGGTCACCTCCGGGGCGGGGATCGAATTTGCACTGAAGATGCTGTGGCCAGTTTGCAGTGCTGCGCCCTAACCCATTGCACCACCAGGGAGGGCCCTCAGGCTGTGTCTTCTACACTGACAACCACTCAGCCACTTTCTTCCTTCTCAGGTGGTCCTCATCCTGCAGATCTCAGCACAGCACCCTCCCAGGGAAGGCTTCCAGGTCCCTGGGGCAGGTCATCCTGCCTGTCGTACATCCCAAAGTTCTCCTCCAAGTATCATGCTCAACATGGTTCACAATGATTTCCTTCTGTCTTCGTTGCCTTTACCTCTGCCTTCCCCACGGGACTCTGGATTCTGTATAAATGGAATCTCTCACAGCCTCCCCAGGCTCCAACACACACAACCCACCAGAATTGAAGTGCTTGCCAATACTTAGTATCATTACTAAGTATCATTGTCAATACTTAGTATCATTACTACTGATCAATAGACATTTGATGACTACCTCAATGAACAAAATACAAACAGGGTTTTAAGCAAGTCAATTTCCAGTCCAGGTCACAGTTCTCTCGTCCCTAAAATGGGTATTTGGGATAGCCTCCTCTGGCATGATAAGTCCTGATTGTAATTGCTCAGATGAAGCCTTGTTTTACTGCAGTGCCTGCCATCAGAGGAGACGCCAAGAAGGAGAAGCTTATGACGTACCTACCTAAGGCTGGTAAGTGGGAAGGTTCTCATCATCTCTAGCTCACTCTGCCTTGAGCAAACTCCCGGCCTTCTCTGAGCCTTTCACTCTCTGGAAAATACAGACGGTCTCTATCTCCGTTAATGTAGCCGTTCTAGTGGCTAGAGTATAGCTCCTAAGAGTTGCTCATTGCTTTATGCTTCATGGGACACTTTATTAAAACTACAAAGATGTGACAGGCTATTAGCAATAGACGCCGTAATGGGAAGGCTTCATGATGGGAATCTTGAACATGTCATCATCACCTCTGTAATAATTCCATCTTTCTTTGCCTTCTTTTTTTTTTTTTTTTTTTGTGGTACAAAATTAGCTTCCAGCAACACAGTGAATGCATTGAGCTTTGAGCATGAAGCCTGGGAGCCAGGGCCCATATTTTTGGTTCCTAACTTTTTCGGTAAACAAGCAAGATGATTATTATATATAATCTCGGGTTTTGTTTTTTAAGGGGGTGGATCAGGATAACTGTTTGCATTTTAAATTTTTTCATTATTTTTAATTAGTTAAAATATTGACATGGTTCAAAATGTAGAAGTCACCAAAATGTCTAAAGTTAAAACGCTTCCCAAGCCAACTACTTTTGTTCATAACACAGTAGTTATACCAAATTTCTGTCCACAAGAAGGGCTGTTTTCAAACAGTATTTCCCCTGAGTCAGCCTCCAATTTTCTCCCCTTTGAATGGGAACAACAATTCTATTCCACAGGTAAGGGAAAGCTGATAAAATAGTAAGTGTGAGTCAGTATGAAGGGGCCACGTACCTTCCATAGTAACAACACTGATCAAAAAGAGAACAACAGTTGCACATCTGCCCAGTGGTTTATTTGAAATGTGCTTTTGTGTAGCGTCCTATTCAGAAATGCCAGCTTCCGCTTTGTTCTGCTCACACTTCAAACATCTTCTAACTTGTCTGACAGTTGGTGGAAGGTCAAGCTGACGTAAGATGGCAATAGCTAATGGTACAACAAGATACTTAAGAAGCAGGAAACAGGCCCTCCCTGGTGGCGCAGCGGGTTAAAGCACTACACTGAGAAGCTGGAGCCACTTCCACA